AGGAATGGCCTGGGAGCTGCCTGCTGCCTTATGACAACTGCTAATGAAGAGTTTACACTTCAGGATATCACATCCCTGACATGAATCCCAGCCAGTTTGGACCAGCACTGGGAACACAACTGCAATTTGAAAGCTCCCAAGTGAATCAAGGTCTTGGTTTGTTTGTTTTTTCCTTTAACTTCTGACATTTCATTTTACAGGAGCTTTTCAGAAGTAGGGCAAAAACCTACAATCTCTGTATTCCATCAAGTGTTGCTCCCATCCTAAAACGTCCAGGCAACACAAAAAATAATAACCAGGAGACCAAAAATCTTTGTGCAATTCTACCTTAGGAATTCCTAACAAGACATACAAGCTTGCATTTCTTCCTCAGTTCTGAACTCTACTGGTTATTACATCTGTAAGCACTGAAACTCCCCAAGGAAATCAACTGGAAATGTCATTACTTCAACACTTCTGAATCCTAGAATAATTTATTGACAGCTCTGTGGAAAACATCTTGCTAACACCATCTCCTCCAGAAACACTAGACAAGGTCTGTTTTGTCAACAGTACATCTTCTTGGGTTAATGATGTGGTGACTGCAAGGAAAAAAAACACAACAAAACCCAAACCACAAAACCCCTGGCTTAAATTATTAATCTAAAAATACATACCATATTATCCAGTATACAGCCATTCTACTAAAAAAAACCAGCAGATTCCTATCTAATTGGAACAGTATGCCAGGTGTTAGGGGAGGGAAGCAAAGTAGTCATAAACAAGGCATTGTCGATGAAAAGCCATGCAAACACAGAGCTGAGAACTACAAGCAGAGCTTTTCAATTCATGTTTGAACAGGAAGAGCTTCAGAGAACAAACATCTCCAACACGAGAGCAAATAGATTGGGAGATGTGGAAAGATGGGAAGAAAAATCCCTTCTGGTGAATGAACCGTATGTGATCAAATTGAAACCACAGGCTGCTATTTTTAGAGCTCATCACTCATCACACTGATGGGCTGCAGAAGGGTTTAACCTAAAATTAATCAGGGAAATGGGAGCAAGAGGAGGACGCCTACCCAGTCACACTTACTTATTCCACTCCTGTCAGCCAGTGCCAGACTGCTCCACAAGGGGATGTTCTGCTGCTGGACCCAAGCTGCCTTGACTCTTGGCAGGTGACTCCACAGTCTTATGGACCCTGCTATTTGGGAGCTGCCCCCATCATCACCACCAACCCCAATTTTTCTTCCAAACTAGTTTTTCTTCCCCCGTTGCTTCTCTCCATGCTTTTCATATTTGGAGCCAACACCACCACAGGCAGCTCACTGGCTGCTCCTGGCTTTGGGTTCACTGGTGGAGGCAGGAAAACTGCCTCATTTTTAATTTAGCAAAAAAAGAGGAATTGTGTGGGTATTTTAAGAGGCCAATACTAAAGCAAGCAGTATTAAAAAAACCCTCTTCCTTCGCACAGTTATGGTGTCCCACTTCAAAACAGCAAATCCCAAGCAAGAGTTTACAGGAGAGAACAGGCTCAGCGTAGTCAAGTGTGTGCTTGCTGCACTCTGGACTGACCAGTGGCAACAAGCCTGTGGACAAAACCAAGACGGTTATTGAGAAGTCAAAGGGAAAAGAAAATCAATGAAAAAATCAAAATCAGATGTGCTGCCCAAATGAGAACAGGCCCAGAGAATTTGCAGCAAGACAGGCAACAGCTCTGCTCTGGGTGACAGCCTAGAGGAGGGAGGTTTTCTGAGCCACACACAGAACACAGCAGAACTGGCAGAAGCAGGCAGAAGAGAGAGAAGTTAAGAAGCAATGAAGCAAGGCTTAAGAAAATCCAGACAGTCCTGACACTCAGATCTATTATTGAGCTTCCCAGTGACCTCTCTCTGGCTAATGGCAAGGAGAGACAAAGCTCCTGCTTTGGAGCCATGAAGGGGCAGCACTGACTGAGCCAGGGTCCTCCTCACAGCCTTCAGTGTTACATGATGAAACAGAAAATGGATTTTCAGACTCTGCTGTGATGCTTTGGAAGAACTTCCTGCCCCTTGTTTCTACAGGTTGGATTTAGGCACAGGGCAGCCACTTGGAGCTGTTCTAGCAGCATCAAATTATTTCTGTACTGAAAACACACTGGCTCCCTCACACTTAGGGGCACCCTCATTTGCTGCCTTGGCTTTAACTGTCTTGCTGATGTCTTGCCAGATACAAATTCCCCCTGGTAGAATCACAGACAGACCAAGCTCTGACTTGCATGTAGGATGTGTGAGCATCTACAGACACAGGAAGGAAAACCAGCTAGCATGCAAGGAAGTGTGTTCACTAACCCAGGACTTATAAGCCACAAGATACAACTAATTTTAAGAGCATCTACTTCAGAGTGTATGTTCCCACATAAAAAAACTCTTTATGTAAATGCATTTGGCCACACAAGTGGTATTTAGTGCCATGGGAGTTCTCCTGCTAGAAACCCCCAGGTTTCCTTCTCTCTCTCTCTCCTCTACCCTCCCAAACCTTATCAATCAGCTCCTTCACAATATTGCTAATTAAAAGGGAGAGGTTGAGTCCACAGTGCACCCCAAAGAGGTTGGACAGCATTCCAACCGTAGCTCTGATCAATAAATTTTAAAAAAGGCAATTCACCAGCTATTGAAAAACTCTGGAACTGAATGAAACTGCAAACATGAGGATGAGACATCAGTGATGCATGAGGCACAGACAGGTACAGTGAGACAACTATGGGTCAGTCATGGAGAGACTCAGCTACCAACAAACACGAGAAGCAAGGCCTGTGGAAGCACAGAGTCCCTTACTTGAGGGGAGCTGCCAGGAGAGAAGCCTTGATTGGAGACAGGAGAGGTGGGAGACTGGTTGGCTGGGGATCCAGCATTACTGCGGTACTGCTGGAGTGAAGCCTACAGAACAACACAGAATTAAAGACCATGGGATTGATGGAAGGTTGGAAAATTATACACTTCTGGTGGATGCAGCTTGAGGAAGCTGGGAGAAACCATCCTCTTCAGCAATTCTTGGCTATGTGTGAAGACAGGGTGGCTGTGAACAATGCCTCAGAAAGGAGAAAGTTAAGGTACCAGCATGGCAGGGCCTGGTCTGACTGGAAGGATTTTCTCCCTGTTCTCAGTTACACTCAATTTAAAACAAAACCAAAAAATCTGGTCAGCCAACAATTCAGGTAGAAAAGAAGCCTGGAAAGCTGGGAATAACCCCAAAATAATGCAATTTATTCTCGAATTTAACACCCTCTTAACCTGTGTTAAAAAGTCAAGGTGTGTTACCAAGACTGAAGTGTAAAACTGTGCAGCCTGAAACCCTCCTAAAAGCTGCATTTGACCTGAGGACACAGAACAGACGTTGTCTGAGAACTCCCACCACGTTGTGCAGGTTTACATTTCCATTTACACTGTTCCCAGACATCTTGAGAACACATTTTCCAAGATTTACCTTTTTTTTTTTAGTCGTAAAGAACCTTGGATTGAACAAATAATCTCAATGGCATCTGAATAGAATGTTGCACTAAATAACATAAATAGAAAGTACAGCTCTTCTCATAAAACTTCCTGTAGAAATTAACAGATGGTTGAGGAAATCCAGTAGTTCTATGAAAAGGAGTCATTTAATCACCCAGGTTTGCAGTGTGGGAGAACACTGAACTACCACTGCTTTAAATTATTTACATCTCAAGAAGATATGTCTTAATTCTTCTTGCTCTGCATGGCTGCTCATGCACTTCAAGCAGGCATCCAAACTACACCAACATGATTTTCAATACTGCTTTACAAAAGCTAATCAAAAGTCAATGAGACTGTAATGCAGCTCCAACAGCTTTTTGAGAAATGAGCTTTAAATTTAATTGATGTATGATTTCAGTTGCTTTAAAAGGTAAGCAAGCATAGGACCCTAGAAGTTAAGGTCATAAAGAAGTTTAGGATGAGGAAAGCAACACAGAAAGCAAAGAATGAAAATCAGAATCATCTGCACTGGTAGCTACATGAGTATCAGAATCAACACATTCAGCCACAATTTGAGTGGGTTGGTATCCTTTCCACTGCTGGATTTGTCCTTCCCCTTCCAATTCTGGAAGGAACACAGCTGCTTTTAAGGAGCACTTACCAGCACCAACTGTTAAAAATTTAATCCACAAGGAACTCCACAATCAAGAGCTAGATCAATACAGAACAATTTCTTCTTGTTCTCAAACCAATTACTGTCACTGCAGCACTGCCAGGAGGACACAACAGGTCAGACAACCAAGATCCTACACAGGGGCCAGGAGGAGCAGATGAGGAGCTGGGACATTCTGCCCTACACTGGAACCCTGATCTTGTCCTGCAGTTTGGATTTTCATAGGCAGAAAGACACAACATTTCACAACAGACCATGTTAAAACAAGGAAAAACAGCAGTCTGTCCAGAACTCCCTGCTCCCTGGCTGTACACACTGAGGGCAGCCACACATCCAGGTTTAGAAGATACCAACATTTGCTTTCATACTCCTTAAAATGTTTTAAATATAAGAAAGCTCAGGAAAACACCTGGTTCTTTCCAACTTCTAGAAAAGGCTTGTTAGCAGGTTTCCTTGTCAAAGCTCTGCTAACTCCCCTAGTCTGTATCCCACTGTAAAACCTACAACGTGTTGGGGTCTGTGACACTGAAAACCCTGGAAAGATCTCCATGCAGCAGCAAGGCATGAAATAAATGCCACTGTATTTCAGCTGTTCTAGTCAAACCAAATCATGAGGGACACTTTTAGCAAACTGTGCTCACTTAGCCTCATTAAACCCAAATTTTCCTCTACTAAACATTTAAATGTGGATTCAACCAAAGCCATTCCAAGTCTACTCCACACTGCCCATTCCAGCCTGAGCTCTGACACACCAGACACTACCAGGTTTTCCAAAGGAAAGCCCCATCACTCCCAGCTGTGCCCCAGCTGTGCCCCAGCTTACCGAGTTGATGTCTATTCCCATGGATGGTTGGGTCTGGCTGCCTGGAGGTGACTGTGGGATGGTGGAAGGTACCGTGACGGAGAGAGGGGGGAGCTGTGTTCCTCGCTGTAAACCAGAGGTCTGCATTAAAGGAGTGTTCTGAGGCAGGGTACTTGCCACCTGGGTCTGCTGCTGTTGTTGGGAAGTTGTCTGGGTAAAAAATGGATATGGGGGAAGCTGCTGCTCCAGAGACAATGCATCCATAGCCACAGCCTTAAAAAGAAGAATCAAAAATCACCCAGGCTGGCAGGGAACTGCCCTTTGTTTTTGAGCACATCAAGTTTCATACCAAGAGCACTAAGTCAATCTCATCCTGCATTTCAAAAGTGTTGCCTAAAGGTTCAGAAACAGTCAAGAACATGTTTCAAAAGACTTAGTATTGTTTCCTGTGTCCAAGAAACAAATACTCTAAAAGCTCTGTTGATTGTTTTGAATGAATGAGGGTCAGAAATTCATAAACCAGGCTGCTGCAGAGTCACACCTATAAAATCAATTTTAAAAGCTAATTGAGCTTCTCTCACAAATTAAATCATAGAATCACAGACTGGTTTGGGTTAGAAGGGTCCATAAAGATCCTCTAGATCCAACCCCCTTGCATGGGCAGGGACATCTCCCATTAGACCAGATGGCTCCAAGCCCCATCCAACCTGCCCTTCAACACTGCCAGGGATGGGGCAGCCACAGCTTCCCTGGGTAACCTATTCCAGGGTCTCACCACCCTCACACTCCAGAATTTACTTCTTGTGTCCAACCTAAATCTCCCTCCTCCAGTTTTAATCCAGTACCCTTCGTCCCATCCCTCCCTGCCCTTGTCCCTCCCTCAGCTTTCCTGTAGGCCCCCTTTCAAATTTCACAACTAACACTGGGACAATACCAAAACAGGAAAGCATCCTGACAGATGTTTTTTACTATAGTTCCAAGAAAGCAAAAGTAAAATCTGTCCCCTCTACAAACCTCTCCCTCTTCAAAGCTTTGATTTAACAAACACATTTTAAATAAGAAAACTACAGCACAAGAGATGGGAAAGTACAGCCAGCTTCTCTCTAGGTGGAGTAAAACAATTCATCTTGTGATTAAAAAAAATAAATGAGTTCTCCAGGTAAGCTCCTACCTGAGTGATTGGTGACAAAGGGGAAAGGGTGGGAGACATTTGCTGTGTCTGTGGCCGCCTGGAGTCTGCGCTCAGGGAGAGGGGGCTGACGGCCGCGGGGCGGTGCTGCTGGGATGGGGCTGGTGTCGTGGTCATTCCTGCAGGAAGGAGCAAACCAGCTTTCAAGAGGAGCAGAGCCATGGTTTATTGATACTCGTATGGAGCTAATTACCTAAATGATGAAAAATTGATGGGAGAAGTGGACAACCACTTCATGCAAAGCGCTGAATGCGCCTCAGCCAATCAGGCTGAAACTCGTTAGTGAATTTGCAATTAATTTTGTCAGGGTGAAGAGCATCAGGATGAGAGGAAGGTCCCTGTGGTTTACCCTGGACCAAACCCAACCACTTTGTTCAGGCTGCTGCACTGAGAGGCAGGAGCAGCTTCAGCAGTTGACAGAAACCACAGGTAAGGTCTCCCCCACCTCCTGGGCTGCGGGCGTTGGACCTGGGAGCAGCACATCCTGCTCTGCTTGCAAGGGCTCCAACTTCAGCAAGAAGATAAAAGATCATCTAACAAGACTCATCAGAGGGCATTTGTGGTATTATAAAAGCAAACACTTATTTTAATAGAAAATGCAGAAGAAAAACTGGTTACACAGGAAGTACTCCATTCATAATGGCATACCAGTGCACGGGAAGGCAGGAAATACCCTCCACACTCTGAAAAGCCACGACCTAGCAGGGGGTGGGATAAACCATTTAAGTCTTGTAATTTTGGTCAAATTTAAGGCAAAAATTTGTACGTTTTGAAACATCTCCTATTTCCTGCTTCACCCTAGAGAAACAGAGACACCCTGGAAAGTGATTTCAGGACAATCTACTGAGCGAGCTGTTCTTCTCGAGCTGCCAGAAAGGAGGAATTCACAAGAGCCTGAGAGCTCCGAGGCACTTGGCAAATGTTCAGAGCTTCCAGGCAGGCTGCCAGGGAGCCAGGAAGTCCGGGCTGCCAAGGAGCCAGCAGGCAAACTGGCTCAAACAGCACAGATTCTGAAGCCTGCCTGGTTTCCCCTGCCATGTTTGCAAAACCAAGAGCGTCTCACGGAACACGGCACTGAGCTGACAAACTCCGAGGCACACACGTGTTGCCCCCGATTGCTGGTTGTTCTCTGGGACCTGACAGGTGTTTGTCTCCCCACCTTTTCCTGGGGGTGCTGAGGGAACGTCTGTGCAGTGCACTGAGCTCCTACAAAATGCAGGTCTGTGTCCTGC